GCTTAGTCAATTTTTTCTATTGGAGTTCTGTATTTTTCTTTTTGATTTTCAGGAGCTCCTTGTACGTTCTGGATATTCTCCAGAGTTGTTTTCAGAAGCTTAGATTTAGAGGTGGCCTTTGAGGTAATCTAGTCCAACCACCTCATTTTACAGTTGGGGAAACTGAGACCCAAGCAATGAAGTGATGTTTTTTTTTCAGATTAGATGCAGAGTGGAAAAGCTGAGACTCGAAATCAATACTTCTTCCCTGTATCATATGTAGTGAGAGGACTTGCACTAAGGCAGGAGTGAAAGTCAAAGGTGGGCAAGAGCTGTAGGGTATTTCTGGTTCCCCACCATCTGTATTTCTTTGCAGGCAGAAGAGCCACTTTATCTGACCTGTTGGCCAAGGGTAGCTCTGGACTCAAGAGACCCTGGGTCTGGTGACAATTTCCTCCTCCCATTCACACTGTCATGACCTTATTTCAGGACTTTATCCTTTTGCTTGACTTGTGTTTCTCAAATTTTGGTGTGTGTGAAATTCACCTCGTGAACTTATTAACATGCAGAAAACTGCCCACCCTGAGCATCTGAAGTACTGAGAGACCCTCAGGATCTTGATGTGGGTCCATGAACCTTCTTTGGAGAAACATGTACCGGTTTCATCAGCTCCCTGATTCCTCTTCTGTCTCCATCTTCTAGTCACCTTCATTTGTCTTCCAGGCTCCAAACGCAACTACAGCTCTTTCCCTAACACATCTGCTTGCCATACCCACATGCTCTCATCCTTACCATCCATTTGAAATGCTCCTTCCTGTGTGAAATTCTATGATTTTTCAAGATGTAGGTCAAGCATAGTCTCCCCCAAAAAACCCTCCCTGGCCGGGCGCGGTGGCTCATGCCTATAATCCCAGCACTTTGGGAGGCCAAGGCTGGCGGATCATGAGGTCAGGAGATCGTCTCTGCTAAAAATACAAAAAAAATTAGCTGAGCATGGTGGCGCAAGCCTGTAGTCCCAGCTACTCGGGAGGCTGAGACAGGAGAATTGCTTGAACTCAGGAGGCAGAGATTGCAGTGAACCGAAATTGCGCCACTGCAGTATACAGCCTGGGCGACAGTGCAAGACTTCATCTCAAAAAGCAAACAAACAAAAAAACAAAACAAAACAAAAAAAACCCTCCCTGTTTTTTCTGAGAATTGAGTGTAGGGGCATATTGCAAATGAGGAAATGCGGCAGGTGGTATGAGTGTCCCATTGACTAGTGCCCTACCCTTTGTAATCACAATGGACACCCTGCCATTTAAGGTGGTTAAAGACAAAAGACATCTCTGGGAGGAAAGGAGCAATATCCCAGACCAGCTGGTCTTTCCTTTAAAAAAAATAATTTTTTTTTTATCAAATATACATATACATAGTTTATTTAAAGAGTAGCAGTTGTACAACATTTTTTATGAAACAGCAGTCTTCCATTCTTTGTCCCAGCATTTTCTTCTCTCCAGAGGCAAGCATCTGGAACTCTTTTTGCTGATTCTTTCGATATGTCTAAAAAGTATGCTTTTATTGCTCCTATTTGATTTTTTGGCGGTGTTAGGCACCAACTATTGACTTTCCACTGAGAGAATGAGGATTTAACCCTCCATCTTCCCTCTATCCCTTCCCCATATTTTATTGCCTGGCATGTTTTTGCATCCAGTATGCCATGTGGTGGTTCTCTCTGCCTTGGTGACTGATGCTGTCAGCCACCTGACTGTCCAAATCAGAAATCTGGGCACACTCCTTAACTCCTTCTTTTCCTGAATCCTGCCTCCATTAATTCTTCTCCGACCTCCCATATCCAGTTACTCATGAAATTCTGCCAACTCTACCTCTGACATAACCTTGCAAATCCATCCAGTTCTGTTTGTTCCCACCGCCACTGCCCTTGGTCGATCTAACACCCTCTCCCCCAGGTCCCCACTAGAATATTGTAATACTACTAGTCTGGTTTCCTTTCATGCCTCCCTCTGGTCTCTTCTTCCCCTTACAGCCAGAGTTAGTTTTCTCAAACACAAATTAACTAGACTTGGTGGCTCTCATGCTTACAACTCTTGAGTGTACTTCAGGAGCAAGTTCCAATATCTTCTTCTGGTGGGGCAGAGACAATTCCTAGTTTTCCATAGCATTCTTGGTATACAGACTGTGTTTCCCTGCAGTAAGGTTGGGACCATGTGAAATGTGAGTGGAAGTGACATGTGTCATTTCCAGGCCCAGCAATTATAAGTTGTTTGCTATTGCCTCTCTTTTCTCTTCTGGAGTGGACCTCTGAGGCCATGTTCTAGATGCTGGAGCTACAGGGTGGAGGAGGGCTCCCTACCCACATGGGACTCTGTATGAATGACAAATTAGTCTTTGTTGTGGTAAGCCAATGAAACTTTGGGGTTAATTTGTTATTGTAGCATAGCCTATCATAATCCTGACCAACACAAGGGATATAAAAGGCCCTTTAGGATCTGGTCTTGCTTCTCTAATGTTGTTTCTCTTCCCTTCCTTCCCTTATACTCTCTCTATATTCTAGTTATAATGGCATACCAGGCTCTTCCCCATGTCCAGGCCTTTGTATATGCAGTTCTTGTTGCTTAGGATGTCTTTTTGTCACTCACATTCACTTTACCACTTTGCCTGGTGAATCTCAACTTTCAAGCCTCAGCTTAGATGTCTCTTCCTCTGAGAAGCCCTCCAGGACACCCTACTGCCTCCTGGTTGAGATGCCCTTCCTTTGTGTCCCCTTAGAATACTATGCCTGCCCTGTACTTACCACTCTGTCCTGAAATGGCCTGTTTTCTTGTTTTTCCACCAAACTGAACTGGAAGCTCCTGAGCTTCATGACTGCCCCGTTCACTGTGATCTTCTCAGGCATCCTCAGAGTAGGCGCTCAGTCCATTTTTGTGGAATGAATCATTGTTGGAAGATCCAGGCAAAATCTTAGGGGAGAAGCTATCACGAAAAGCTGCAATTTACATTTCTTTTGCCAAGACTTTCTTGGTAGTTTAAATTCTTAGAGACAATATTGATTGGTGATTTGGAGGACACAGTCTATAGTCAGACAGAGCTGGTTTCACTTCTGGCTGTACTAGATGTGAAATGTTTAGCAAGTTACTTACCCTCTTAAACCTCAGTTTCACGATCTGATGGGAATAATGCCTACCTCATAGGATTGTTACGATGATTCAATTCGTTGAAATGTGTGTGTGTATGTGTGTGTGTGTGTGTGTGTGTGTGTATGCACTTAGAACAATGCCAAGCATACAGAAGTGCCCAATAAATATTAGACATGTTATTATTTTAAAAAATATCCTAAATGCAATTGTGGCATCCTGGGTTGGGTCTTGGAACAGAGAAAAGGGCATTGGAAGAAAAAAAAAACTAGTGAAATACCAATAAAGTCTGGAGTTTAGTTAATAGCAGTATTCCAACATAAGTTTTTCAGCTTTGATAAATGTACCACTGTAATGTGAGATAACATTAGGGGGAACTAGATGAGAGGTATATGGGAACTCTGTGCTACCTCTGTAACTTAGTCTAAAATTATTCCATAATAAAAAGTTTGTTAAAATAAATTCTTATTATAACTGATCTTCATTGTAGTCTCACAATATCCCTATATAAGTACTGTAGTGATTGCCATTTACAGATGAAGAAACTGAGGCACACAAAAGTTAAATAACTTGCCCATGGTCACTCTTAGATCAGGATAACTAAGTAGGAATGATTGGTGGGTAGGGATTTAAATAGAATGCCGTAATAAACACTTATTTTGTGTAAGTTATCACCCTTTATGCTGTGTCAATAGAGAATACTGAAGACAAGTGGTCTCTGCTCTCAGGGTCATTGTAAGTAGGAAGCCCAAGTTCACACAGTGCTAAGTGCAGAATTGGGGATGGAGATCCAGCTCCTGAGTCCAGACCAATCTCTTAAGCATTGCACCAAACAAACTGGGGAGCAAGTGGTGATTAGAGTCACATGCAATTCACAGTGGAAGTGCACACATAAAAACAGGTCTGGTTGGGGGTTTAGAGACAGCTAGCTTTATGGGTGGGGGTTTGACTTGAGTCTTGAACATGAGCATAATTTGATCTGAATAGAGCAAAAAGGAAAACCTGGAGTGGGTCTTGGGGCCTGGGTTGAGCCTACCCTCTCTTCTCTCCCTTTCCCAGGCCTGAGTGCAGGACATGCTTCTGTACACGTGGCTGTTCTGTTTAGTACTTTGTGACAAACAGTAGCTCATAGTGCACAGGGCATGGACTTTGGCATGGGTCCAGCAGTTGCTCTGCTCTTACTGACTGTGATTATGAGCTGGTGACTTCATCTCTCCATGCCTCAGGAGAATGATGGTAACAATGACCACCTGACCTTGTTGTTGCCCGCATTAGCCCAGGGGGAAATGCATATAAAGCTGGGCATAATGCTGGGCACTTGGGATGGACCCAGTAAGTGGTGGCCACTTCTATATGGCCAGACTTATGTGATGAACCCTTGGTTGTGCTGCTAAATATTTATATTTCCTGTAAAGGAAAGAACATGGACTTTGGGAGGCTGCACTACTTACCAGTTGGGTGACCTCAGTCAGTTGTTTAACCTGTTCAGGCCTCAAATTTTCGTGGTAAAATAATATCAATATTATAGGATTGCTGTGATAACTATGAGATGGAGTGTGAAGATGGCCCATGGACACATTCCATTAATGTTAGCTCTTATCATTTCCTTATATTTTTCTCCATTTGATTAATATTAATCTTAACTTCCACTTAAATTGTTTGATCATTAAGGAAGATCTTAAATCTTGTATTTCTTGTATCCATCCCTCCAGCACTTAGTTTGGGGACATAATAGGTACTTATTAAACACGAGTTGGCTTACTTTTGGGGCAGGCTTTCTTGGTATTTAGATGCATCCAACAATATTTATAGATTTTGTTCCACCCCATCCTGCTGAGCTCAAGGAGTCATCCTTGGGCTGGTGAAGTGGGAAGGGACCAACCTGTGAACTGGCCACCAGAGATTTTATTCATTTTACTAGTAGGTTTCAATGTCTATGACAGCTCCAAGGTGGTGGGATGGGGAAGGCAAGAGAGAAAGCAGGGAGCCTGGGGGAGGCACATAAGATGGTAGTCTCAGGCAACTAAATAAGCTTAGGGAACTCCTGGGATGAGGTCGTCTGGGTTTGAAAAATCCGCCTGCTGACTTCCATCCTAGTCCCGGCCTCATCCTCGTCCTCTTCGCTAGACTTGCGGCGGGTGTTCTGGCAGAGCACAGCACACACACCTGTGAGCCAGGCGGCCACAGTTCCCGCGGCGAAGATACAGAAGCCGATGAGCAGCAGGAAGATGTAGTCTTTGAGGTCCAGGTGCGTGACGCACATGTACCGGAGTGGGTTCCCCACTCGTGTGATGGGCCACCCTGTCAGCTCTGTGGGCTCCACACATGTGGCATTTAGATCATCTAAGAAGAAAAACACAGCAGGTAGGGTGCTGAAACAGCATGACTCCCAAAGTCCTAAGGCCAAAGGGGATCTGGAGGAGCCATCTGGACCCTCACTGCTCAAAGTGTGGTCGTGGGCCAGCAGCATCGACATCACCTGGACCTTGTTAGAAATGCAGACTCTCAGAACCCACCTGTGACCTTCTGAATCTGAATCTGCATCTCAACAAGACTTTCAGGGTGTCTGTTGCACATTAGAGTTTGAGAAGTACTGGGCCTGGACTGTTCCTTGTGTCCTCAAGCTTTGCTGCATTCAGGCCATGAAAATGCTTCTTAAGAATCCTCAAGGAAGGTGAGGCCACAACAGGGGTGGGGAGGTTGGAAGCTTAGGCAGGATTGCCATAGAGTGTTGACATGCCCCTGTTCTTCACCAGTCACCTTCCTCTCGCTCCTCCCTAGCCTCCATCCCATCTTTCCCTTCACCTTCTCCCTTTTTCTTTAGCAGTAGCTGAGTCCAGCTTGGCACCACTAGCATAACCCAAGAGCCTTGCAAGCCACTCAACTCTAGGGAGAGATAAGATTCCCTTGAAATGTTTACTGTGTGTTTTACCCACTCCCCACTTTCCCCCCATGACAAGTCAGGGGAGCTCAGGGTAAAGAGGTTGCCAATAGGGAAAGCAGTTCCGCTTCTCAGTGGTGATGTCATCCATCACTGGCTGATTATGTCATCGACATGAGTCTTCAGTCATTCTTAGCAGCTGACTCAGCTTCCTGGCTACTTCTCTCAGCACCTGCCCATATCTAGTGCCATGGCTTTCAGTATATAACAGAAAGAAAAGTAGGCTCTGGAGCTAGACAGGCCAGGATTCTAATCCAGCCTCTGTTACTTGCTGATTTTGTAAACTTCAGCGAAATACTGGATTCTCTCTCTGAACTCCATTTCCTCATCTTAGCAGTGCAAAGAATGATACTTCTTCTCAGAGTAGTCGAGAGGACTTATCAACATAGGTAAGAAGGCAGGTGATTGTGCCTCCAGCACAGAATCCTTGGAGCCCTGTCATTGGCCCTGCATTTTTCTAACTCCGTATACTCTGCCATGCTGAGGCTGAGTGCTTGTGGTGAGGCGCTCAGGTGTAGGTATCCGGCACACACTAGATCCTTGAGCTCCAGCTCAGGGCTGAGGCCAGGGCTTGAGACAACCACAGTGAAAATTATAATAGCAGCCAGTATTTGCTAAGCTCTTACTATGCACTAAGTGATTTACAAATATCTCATTTAATTCTAATAATAACCTTGAGGCACATAATATTATTTTCTTACAAATAAGGAAACTGAGACTCAGGAGATCCCATAACTCGAAGGTTCTAGATAACTGCAGGATCTAGATAGGAGAGAGAAGACAGAAGACAGAAAACCAGTGTGAGCTTGTTTTGCATAAGTGGGATTTGCAAACAGGAGCTATTGTGGAGAGGAGTTTCCTCTAAACTTCGGAGCAGGAACTGCCTGACTAGTGAAAACATCACTATCCTTGGTGACCCAGGATGTTAGGAAAATCAGGTTCGGTTACAGAAATCCTAATGGGGGCTGGAAGCAGCATTTAGATTAAAAGTACAGAAGTAAGTTGACTGGGGAAAAGGCACTCGGGCTTATGGGTGGCTGAAAAGAGCTGTCCTCTTCACTTGGACACCATTACCTTCCTCTTGCTTCTGTATCAGTACACCTACAGCAAAGTCATTTTGTTTTGTTCAGGAAGTTGGCCTGAAGTGTGTAATGCTGTTTAGGACTCACTCTCAGAACAAGTTGTAGATGCAAGAGGGGAAGCCAGTGCAGGAACTATGTCATACCCACTGTTTGTAATGATTACAGAGGAAGGGAGAGGAAGCCACCTCTCTCTAGACTGAGTATGGGATAGTGGCCCTCAAGGCAAACCTGCCCCACCAGAGGGCTCTCAGATAGAGGGAGAGGAGTTGAGGGCTGAAGTCACAGGAACACAATTATGCCTCCAGACTTCTTTCCAGTCAGCCTGGTTTGAGGACCTCCGTGGCTTTGCCCAGGAGGCCTGAGCATGGGGCTCCAATGAGCAGGAGAGGCGCCTGGGAGCTCTCCTGGAATTCTATCGAGAGAGAGCTCAGGTCACCTGCCCAAACCATGGGAGACACATAAATCTATAAAGAAAGATGTATTTGAGAAAGGAAAACATGGGATTTGGAGGGTCTGGGATGTGTCTAGGGGGGTTTATCTCATTCTATTTTTAAAAAGATTGGGCTTTCAAATTGCAGCTTGGGCGGCAGAGATGAGACTAAACATCACACACATTTCCCCATTTTGGAGCATTAACTTTGAAAGGAGCAATTAGGCAGTGATTTTAATGCATTGTTAGGCTGCTAAGTGAGGGATGTGGGTGGCTTTGTTGGGAGGGAGGCCTGGGTTTCTCTCCCGCTGAATTCTCTCCCCCCCTTCCCAGTCGCAGTCACTGCCAAGATCTGGGCTCTCCCCTCCCAGGCTCCCTATCTCCATTGTTTCCCTTTCCCAGCCCTGGGCCATTTCACACACTTCTGCCAAATTGCCTTCCCCAAGTACAGCTCTTCCCAGGCACACTCTGGCTCAAAACCCTCCTCTGACCCCCTGTGAACTTCAGAATAGCACCCAGACCATCTGGCCTGGCATTCAGAGCCCCTCAGCATCTACCCCTTTTCTCCTCTTCCCCCCTTACTTCTCAGCACTGCTGGTAACCTTTGCTCCAAACAAATTAACTGCATATTATGCCTTGATTACATCTCACCTTTGTCCACATCTGTAGTTACCTTTGTTACACTGCTCTTTTTGTATCAAACGCCTCATACCCCTGGTTTTGCAGGATCATGTTCTTTCCATCTTTTAAAATCTAGCCTAAATGCATCTATTCCGAGGATACCTTCCTCAACCACCTTGTCCTCAGAGCTCAGAGGATATGTGATTGTTCCCACTCGTGAACTCGTCCCTAGCATTTCCTTGTGTCATTCTTAATGTACCTATCACATTCCATCTTTCATGATGGTTATTTACAACGTGCGTCCTTTCTCCGTTACTAGATGGACTATTAGCTCCTAAAGGCATAAGCCATGTCTGATCATTATTGTTCTTGTCCGTAAGAGCTAGCATTCATTGACCAAATTGGGTAATTCGTAAAAATGGGGGATTTTCTAGTATTTTTTTTTTTTAATTATGAGATTCTAGGTTAATCCTACTGTTCTGGTTTAATTCTATAGAAACACTCTCTGTAATTTTGATCCTTTGAAATTTCTTGATAATTTGCTATATGGCTGAATGTAAGGTAAATTTTAGTACATTTTCCATGTGCTACAAAAAAATTATACAGTAGATCCCCTAATAACGCTGTTTCATTCTATGTCATTTTGTTGCAATGTTAATGAGAAAAAAAAAATATTCCCTGCCAGGGCCACTGTCTGTATGAAGTTTATGCAAGCTCCTTGTGTCTACATGGGTTTTCTCCTGGTGCTCTGGTTTCTTCCCACATCTCAAAGATGTGCATATTAGGTGGATTGGCGTGTATAGATTGTACCAGTCTGAGTAAGTGTAAGTGTGCATGCGTGGCCCCCAATAGAATGGCATCATGGCCAGGACTGCCTCCCACCTTGCACCCTGAGTTCCCAAGATAGGCTCCAGCCACTCACAACCCTGAACTGAAATAATTAGGTAAATATTATCTTACTTGTTTGTATGAATCTTTCTTAAATGTTTGTATGTTTCATATTTCATTGCTAAATATTAAAAGAATTTTTTTGGATCTTTATTTAGAAGTTTGGTGATGTTTCTGTGACTAGAAATAAGCTATAGAAGCTTAAGTCTTCCTTATATCAATCAGCCTATGGTGGAATTCGTTTTGTTATATGTCATTTGCTTAAATTAAAGTGGCAGTTTCCAAGAACCTATTGATATTAAGTGAGGACTTACTGTATTCTTCGTTGAGTACATTGTTCTGTGTATGTCAGTTAGGTTGTGATGGTGTACTAATTTTCTATATCCTTAATGACTTTTTATTTATAAACATCTATTGTTTCTTAGTTATTATTAGACTATTGTCTACTAGTCCCAGTAATTATGTAAATACCAGTTTTTGCTGTGTATTGGTCCACTCCATCTCTACTAAAAATACAAACATTAGCCAGGCTCACTGCAACCTCCACTTCCCAGGTTCAAGTGGTTCTCCTGCCTCAGCTTCCCGAGTAGCTAAGATTACAGGATGCACCCCATGCCTAGCTAATGTTTGTATTTTTAGTAGAGATGGGGTTTCACCATGTTGGCCAGACTGGTCTCGAACTCTTGACCTCACATGATCCACCTGCCTTGGGCTCCCAAAGTTCTGGGATTATAGGCATAAGCCACTGCACCCAACCTTGGCTTTACAGATTTTAAAGCTGTGTTATCAGGTGCATACAAAGTTATAATTTTTATATCTTCCTGGTAGAATTACCTTTATGTCATTGACCAGTATCTTTCATTATCTCTAGTAATGCTTCTTGCCTTGAAGTTTACTTTGTTTAACATTAGTATGGCTGCATTGAATTTCTTTTTGGTTAGTGTTTTTATTGTGTATCTTGTTCTGTCCTTTTACTTTTAATCTTTCTATGTTCCTATATTTAAGGCATACTTTTGTAAGCTGTATGTTTTGTTTTCAAAGCTGGGTTTTGTTTTTCATCCAAGCAAGCAAACTTTGTATTTTAATCAGCTCATTGACATTTAATGTAATTACTGATATATTTGTAATTATATCTAGCATCTATTTTTTTCCACTTGTCCCACTTATTTCATGTCCTTTTTCTAACCCTTCTTGCCTTTTTTTATATACAGAAAAAAGTCATTTCTCTTCCTCTTCTTTAGCTCGTTAACCATACCCTCTTTTCCTGTTCTAGTATACTGTCTTTACAGGTTTTATACCCATCTACTGATCCTGCCTGATATGTGTTATGTACTATATGAGATGCTTTACAAAATTAAGCTCTAAGCTCTACTCTTGATCA